AGCTCCCCCCTCCTTTCGCCTGTGTTGTGAGCAGGACGAGCGCTGTACCTCAGAAACAGCACGACGACACCACCTATATGCTAGCTATACCTATATCCCGTATTTGCGCGTCGAGTTGCTTTTGTGAGCAGAGCTGAGTTAGATCCTTTGTTGAAAGTAGGAGCGATTAGGCTACTTGTACATAGGCAGTAATAACACTTAAATACACCTGCTACTTTTGAGATCGTGGGTGTGATGTCTCCCACACCGTATGCCATTACTGCTCGTCTTCTAACTCTGTTTATGATCTATTTATGATGTAAACGAGATCAAAACTGAAAGGTTTGATTTTGGAGAAATAAGAAGAAACCCGAATTAATTGTGGTGAGCGCCAGAGCAGGTTTGAAAGGGTTACACACCAAACTTCGGCCCCTCTACGCCAGCAGGAGCGTGGGTTCTAATATTCAAGTTGCCTTTGCTGGTTTCCCGTTGAAGTTTCTGACACAGCAAAAAAACCCCACCTCAGATCAGAGCCTTGGCAAGAAGGGGGGGGCGTGTTTCGAGCCGGTGCCTCGGTGCATCTCATGGCCCGACCTTTCTTTCAAGTAGTAAGGGTCTGGTTTTACCCTTTTAATTTCAGGTTTTCCAGGTAGTGTGAATTTATGTACTCCCCTCCCCCCCCAAAAAAACCCAAAACCAACAACCAAACCAAAACAATGAAACAAATGAAACATGTCGTTATGCTCTCAGTTTTTTTTTCTTTAGAATTTTGAAAATTCTTGCCTTTAAACTGTTTATGTTCAAATGGTGAGCCTGAACCATTTTTGAAACAGCTGTCTGTTGGTTTGTGGGGGAGACATGAGGGCAGATTTTTCAGGTTAGGAGAGCTGTGCATCCCATTGCCTCTCCTCTGCAAGGGGGGCTTGCCGTACACACATGGCTGGCGCTAACAGGAGAGCTGTTTTCCTATCCAAGTGTGTCCACCTCTGAGATGCGATTACAGTGATATACCTAGACTTCACATTGCAACATAGAGATGTTCCAGTCAGTTTTCAGCAAGCTTGAGTAATGGCAGCAACATATCTGTGACAGTGCAAATCATCCTATCATCCTGTGGGCTGATGTGTCTTGCTGCTTAGCAGATCAAGCTAAATCCTGAGAAGTGGCCATACTGCCTCCTCTTGGTATGGTTGTGTTCTGTTTGAAGGCTATAGTGGAGGCTTATTTTAAGCTGTCTTGAAAAATATTGGTGGAATTTGGTGTCCAGCAACTGAGCTGGCAAAATTTGGCATCAGAACTGAGCTAGATCAAAAATGTCTCCTGTGAAAGGTTTAACAGTAGCAGAGGAAGGGTTGGCTTGCATTGGCATTACCAGAGCCTTCAGACACGATTATCTGCAAGTGACTTGCTGGCACTATCTGCATAGAAAGCATAAACTCATCAGACTTTAGAGGTGTAGAGAACTGGGAAAAATGGAGGCTAAAATACTGGGCTTTCTGAATAGTTGATGTATTATTTAAACACTATCACAATGATGATATTTTATAGACCTATCTTTAAAGTAGTTGTGGTACTCAATTACAGGAACTCTGACGGTTAAAGCACAAGTTATTTCAGTAGAGTCAGGGGATCTGTTTGAAAAATAGCCCGCAATGTGCATATCATATGCTAGCAAGAGAACTGTTATTTCAGAAAATTTTGTTGTGATTTCTTAGTAGTAGTTACACACTCAGTATATTGCTTTTTTATATTCTGGGGTCATAAGTGAGATGTTGAATTCCTCCTGTTTGTTGATTATCTATCTCATTTCATTCAGGAAAAGTCTGGCAAACCATATGTAGAAGAGAGTGCATTTGAAGCACTGGAAAAAGACTTCCAAGATGTCATCAATCTACTTAAGGGAGATAAAACTCTGGAAAAATTCCGAATAGAGTATGAGAAGCTCCATGCTGTTATGAAGAAGTCTCATGAAAATGAAAAGCGTCTCATGGAGAAATGCAGGGAGCTGAATGCTGAGCTTGTGGTGAATTCATCTAAAGTAGCTGCACTCACAGAACTCTCTAAAGATGATCGGGGAACTATATCGTCATTGAAGACGGTAAAGTTTTGAATAGAATTAAATAAGATCTGAAATTGTTAGTGAAAAACATGGCAATAAGAAAAGCATCTACAAGAATACTTTATTGTATGTAGAGAACCAGCTGGAGGACTAAATATAGAGCTGGCATCCCCAGTTCAACCTCTGCTTTGCTACCCACTGCTTTGTTTCCTCAGCCCAGTATTTTTATAAGTCCCAGTGAAATTCTGTGTTTATTTGCACTAAACCAGCTCCATCAGCTTTCAAGTACTTACTAACAGTTTTTGTTTAAGTTTTCCCTCTGTAAAATAGCACATTTTCCACTTAATATACAGTTTTTGATTAATTAATATTTTTGAAGGGCTGCTTGGTTATTAACTAATGCCAGAACATTAAAAAATATACTTACTTGCTGAAATATGGATTGTAGACCAGAGAAGTGTCATCAACTCATATAAATAAATGTTTCACAGTGTTTTTGAAAAGGAATCCTATATAGCATTTCAATGTAATTTTAGCAATTTAATCTGATGTGTTCTTTTTTATTATTCATTTGAACTCTGTGAAATCAAAGTGCTTGAGACTCACTAAAAACGGTCGATGTTTGTAGCCTTACAGTGAGGTTTGACTAGCAGAAACCGAAAGCTGCCAAATGATCAGAAGACTGCATTTTGAACTTTTGTCCTTCTGATGGTTTAAAAGCTTAGGCTGTGGTACCTAGACAGGCTTTAATTTAGCATTTAGTTGAGAAACCTCCATGCCTTACAGTAAAGGGTGTTGTTCCAGTAAAATAAATTCAGTGTAACAATCCAGAATGATCTATGAGCACTACAGAAACAGATGTTCTTTGAAATGAAGTTTCTTGTCCTCAGAATTATGAAGAAGATAGATACAATCAGAGTAAATATAAATAGCAGTGCTGTCATGCTATGGCTGCAGCTTGCAAGCCCGTGAACACTGCTCAAAGCATCCTCAAGGAGGAGGAAAACTGGGTAGAGAATTTTGTTGATTTTCACTGCTGCTAATCAAAACCTGGTAGATGGGTGTCAGAAACCGTAATGGTCCTGAGCATTTTCTTTCTGTTATTGCATGGAAGTACTCTGAGCATGAACTGTAGCAGAGGCATTACTTCAAGGTGTTCTCAAGCCAAGGAGACATTGTCTTAGTAATGACATAAAACTGAGGTGTGGAAGCGTAGGAAAAATAAGAGCCTTTCCAATTTCAGCAGCTAATTTGAAGCTCAGGCAAGATATGGCTTAACAATACCACCTACTATTGAACCAGCTAAGAGATTTTGTAGTGAAAAAGCTGCTTGACTGTATGATCCTCTTGGAAATGACGTGCAATGCACGACATGTGGCATTTCAATTTGACTGGTGTGCTGTGGGCCAAGTAAACAGCACCGATACTTTTTTGGTTTAGTTATGAGAATTAGTCTTTCCCTTAAGTGTTCAGGAATTATTTGGATATTGTTTAAAATGTTCATGTCATGTTTTGGGGTTTTGTTTGGTATACCCTTCATATTTCATGTTATTTTCCTTTCTGAGGGGAAGTTCCATTACAACTGTAGTATTTCACTACAATTTTACTAACATTCAAAAAATGTGTTTCACAAGTGCCTAAGACAAGTGTTAAGGAAAGTTCAAGTGCTAAAATAGTTGATATTCTTCAGTGCTAAATTAAAAAATCTGTTCCACTGTTTAATTATTTACAAATGGTAGGAGAATCCTGGCGGGGCTGTTCCTGTAAAAATAGTATAGTTGCTTCAAATTAAGACCCTAAATCTTGGTGACTTGATGGGTCATCAGGGTAACAGGTGTACAGCCTTCCTCTTCTAGGTCATTGTTTCATATACAAATAGAAGTTGCAGAGGCAAAATTTTTCTCCCTGTGAAGCCTGGTTGTAATAAGTAGGATTTGTTTAGGGACAGGGGTAAACTACACAGGTCAGTGGCTGGTAGGACCCAGGTCAATAATAATCAATAGCTGTTAACTCTCTGATGGTCATTCAGTGTTCTGTTTTGTAGTTTTAATAAACCAGACATAATAGTCTGCTGTTTCCAGTGATATGAAAGGAGCAAAGGGCCAAGCTGGACACCAAGGGAATACAATTATCCGTTTCATTGATAGGGTTCCTAATCCACAAGGCTGCACTGGAAGAATGCTGGAAGGGGAATTTATAGGAGCTTTTACTGCCAAGTTTACTGCCAAGTTTACTTACCAAGTTTTCAATTTCCAGGAGTATCAATCCAATATACTAAGAAAGCATTTCAGTAATTCTCAGTTTCTGAGCAGTGAAACTGATGTGATTTGCGGTATTTCATGAAAATAAAGTAAGGCATTCACACTTCATGAATTCTGCTTCACAGTTTTCAGAATTCCAGTACTTCTCCAGAAATTTTTGAATTATTCTAACTGCAGACATACGGTGTACTTCCATCTTTAATTACACAACAGAATGCAATGCATGTTACCTACCTAACCGTGTACTGCAATTATCCCGTGATGCCGACACACTCCATTCTTTCAGTTCCCATCTCCACTGAGTAATAACATGAACGTTTTTTCAACAAAGACTTCCACCATTAAAAATTTCCTGCTCTTTACTTTTGATGTTAAAGGAAGCAATCTGTTGATCCACTATTCAAAGTAAAAGACACAACCAAGAAATGACTACAATGAAGCCCAGTTTTGCTGATGCTGAAGTCTGTAGCAAATTCTTATTTAGATTTTGCTTATTAATGGGGCCATCATGTGTCGCTGCTAACCTTACTGATGAAAATTTGGTTTATTAATGCAAATTCAATAAAATTGTTTTTACACATTCAAAGCAAGATAAAATTCAAAAAGCACAGCTTAGGGTGACCTGAAATCACTGCTTATCTGAATGGCCTTATTGACTTCAGGGGATCACTTTTAAAATACTCACCAGAACAAAATACTCACTGAAGCCAGTAAGACCTCTCAGAGGGCATATTGATTTTATTCACCGGTTCTATCCCCCAAAACTCCAATTGTAACAATTTAATCCACCATTTTTAATCACAGTCTAATCAGCCACCAGGAAGCTTTGATTTAAATAATCAGCTTTAATCTTATTTTCCATTTGCATTTTTCTAGAGAAAGGTTGGCTGCCTCTTATTGGTTGGCAAATGTGAAACATGTTTATTCACGTTTATATTTTATGGTTTTCTGCCAATCAAGATGATACACTATGTCTTCATACCATTATTTCAGCCTAGCATGCATTTATTTAAATTTCATAACTGAACATTTTTATGTAGGTTAATAATGAATGAAAAATTTATTATTTACTAGATGATATGTAATACTTTTTTTTTGTGATCATTGCTGCATTTGAATGGAATTTAGAACTCAAAATGTATAGAATGTAAAAATTGACTTTAATATTTAAAACTGTTCAAATATGCTTGATACATAGGTGAAAAGCACAGTTTTCAAACTAAATTTTGAGCTAAGTATTTTATTAAGTAATGAAAATACTGTTTGTGGGTAGTGAATTTAATTTAATTGACTATAATCTCCTTCAGAGTTTCTGAACAAGTAAAGCCCACCATTTAACTCTTTATTAATAGGTTGGGGAAAAAAACAGAAGAGCAAACATTTGTGATCTTTAAGCTCCAGATGGTTTCTCAAATTTGGATATGCTGAAGTAATTGAATAAATAAAATGAAAATATATTCCCTCTCCAGTTTGAAGAGGCTACAGATGTTATATTTTGTGTTAGCTTTTCAGCAAATTCTGGTAGCTTGTTAATTCTGTTAGTTTGATAGCTTGAATTTTTATTTTAGGCAGTAAACAGCTAAGTACTACATTTATTTGATTTAAAAGAGTTCAAGAGATATATTAACAGTATACCATAATATAGGTGTCATCATTTTGAGTTTAGTGTTAAATAGTTTTTTTTTAGAACCAGAGATGTTAATTTCAATAAAGAACTGCTGTAAACAATTTGATATAAATTAAATTATTTGATACTCTTCATTGTGGAGTGTTTTTAAATTTTTTTCCTCTGTCCTATTTTCATATGATACAAGTAGGAGTTGACAGGGATATTATGGCCTGATGTAGCGATGCCTCTGTCTGGCTTTGCTTGGGGAGACTTTAGAGCTAATGTAGAGTTGCACAGCCACATTTGGAGTCTAAATCTGTACAAGTCCATCAAGTCCAGAACTCCACCAGGAGCCAGCTGAGAAAAGAGCACAAGAGAGAGGACATCACACTGTGATTTGCAGCTCAGGGACTTCTAGTGTCAAAAGTAGTGTCTTCATTATTTACTGAGTCTTCGGGAACTTTTCTTCCAGTCTAGTCACTTTCTGAATCTATGCATTTTTTAAGCACAGGATTCCAGAACTGGTTTGAACTTGGCAAGGAATAAGCCTGCTGTGTGATTCTTAAGGATCTGATTCAAAGGAGGGAGATGCAGAGGAAGTTAAAAAATCAAGTGAACCCTCCTCCTCTATCCTGTTTGTGGATATCAAACCCTGGGCTTGTGAGAGACACATGAGTCTGTTAAAGTAGTTCCATGTGCTGAAATTTGGTATGAGAATTGTGGCTTGTCTAAATATATAGTTAAAATCAAAATATACTAGGTCCTCACAGGTGAAAATGAACAAAAAGGAAGAAAAACGCAGGGTAGCATCTTTTTCTCATCCAGATCAAATTTGATGTTCATTGTCATAACAGCTAATAAGATTTTTACACACATAAGAGACATATTTAAGTAGATTGTACCTTTGTGGGCACTAAAATTTCAGTAAATTTTTAGGTATTAGTGGGACTCATGTGACCAAAACCTCGTAGAGTGAGATTTGATAATGTATAGATCTATGTGTTAAAGAAAATGTATTAGAGCTTTTGTGGTGTAAATTGACATAGCCTGAATGGCTCAAAATCTTTTCTATGCCCTTGTCCGAAAGAAAAGACAACTGGTGAAGAAAACTGTTGTGAATCTAAGCATGAAAAGGCATGAAAATCTATTTCCTTAATTAACCAAAATGCGAGGCCATTAATTTTTAATTTGTTGTTAATTTTCAACTCAATTTAATTTATGTAATTGTTTTCCATTTTGTTCGTAGGAGATTGAAAAGGCCTGGAAAATGGTGGATACAGCCTATGAAAAGGAACAGAAAGCGAAAGAAACGATTAATTCACTGCAAGAGGAAGTTGCACGCCTAACTAAATTAGTGGAGCAAGGATCCAGACTATCCCAGGGACAGGAGTACAGGTATGTTTTCCCCAGGGAGGGGGAAAGCCTGATCTGAGTTTCTATCATTCCACACCTTTTTTAGCCATTTAGACACTACAAAGGCACTGGAAAACAGAGAGAGGTGTCTTTTCTGCCTTTTACTTTTCTCATGAGTGCACATTTATTGGTCTATGTGTTTATATAGTGAGCAAGTACAGAATCAGGCTCTGAATGAGTTCATTCAGCATTGGATTAAACTGAGAGATCAAATAAAAATCAATATTATGCACTATCTCAGTATCTGTCATATTGTTTTACCTGACTAGCAATTCAACATACACTGTTTTTGAGAACAGGATCCTGCCAACATTTTTACATATGATGACAGCAGGGTCAAGCAGACAAATCAAGGAAGCAGGAGACTTGATATCTCTTTTGTTTCCGGCTTTGTTATAAGGAGTTATCACTGTCTGTATTCCTGTTTGCATTTTATATTTCTACATTTTCAAGACTATGAGGGTTTTTCTACTGAATGCTTATGCAGCCGCTAGCATAGAGGGACCTAGTCTCTGGTGGAGCCTCTAGCTGTTACAGTGTGCAAATAATAATAATCCTCAGGAGCTGCTCAAAAGCCCTCCAAAAGCTAGTGTTTTGTAGTATCAGGTCCTCAGACTGTGCTTATGCTGTAAGATTAAGTGTAAACTTAAAGATGAGATTAAGTATATTGACCTGTGCACTTTCTATCAAGATTGCTGATGGTTGGCCCAGGTGGTTCTGGCTTGAAATTTTCACACTGTGTAAGGTATTTATTTATATTATGCATTCAGGATATGTATGGGTCATGCTCATCTCCCCATGCCCTGTGTATCCAGGCTGCATAAATAAGACTTGTGCCTGTGAGCAAGGCCTTTAGTGTGCTCAGACGTTTCCCCTCCAAGGAAAGTGCCAGCACGTAAACCACCTGGATGCAGAAGAAATGCACTCCTCCTCCTTTTGGCCCTGAAATGTTTTGGACCTGTGTAACAGGTTTCCTTGGATCTAAAAGCTTGGTCACTAAGCCTTCCCCTAGTATAACTCTCCCTAAAGGCAGCTCTCTGTGGCTGCTTTTTGCATTTTCCTGCAAGAGCCAGGAGCTCACTCCTGCCATTTCCAGTTGCTGCCCTGGCTGCTGAGACCTGCCTACTAACAATTTCTTCTTAAAGAAGAATTTCCCTGTTTATTGCCCTCCAGTTCCACACTTAAATACTCTGTCTCGTAACAAGGCCATGGGACTAGACAACTCCTCCCTATAGTCTTTTAGAACTGTGAGGCTGGTTTTTAAGGTTGAGCTTGAACCCACACTGCTTGGACTTTCTTTCAGATTGTAAGGGTGTCCAAACAGGGAGTCTGTTTTATTCTTACATTACATGACTGTAAGACTTAACCCAGTTAGGTGCCCAGTCAGGTAAGCTGCAGAGATACTACAATGTAGTATTTTTGGTCCCTGACTAATTTTGCAATGGGTGGAGAAGAAGGAATTTTGTTGCCTGTTACCTTTTTGGGAAACTGAAGGTTTCTTCAGACCCATGAGGATGTGCTATAACAAGAAAGAGTGATTTACTGGACTAGATTAGCTTTGAAAGCTGCCTATGTCGATGGTGACTACAATCACAGTAGGTAGAGCATATAATTCAATTGACCAGCAGAGCTTTAATCCAAGAGGAGTATAAAATAAAACAAATTACTTTTAAACTCCTGTTTCTCACAAAAGATTTTGCTCTGGCATAGGCAGAAGAACAGAAAAGGCCTGTGACTAAGCTTGACTATTATTGCTTCCAGTATCCAGGATTTGCTAAAACTTAAAGAAGAGATAACAAAGGAGCGAGACCAACTCTTGTCAGAGGTTGTGAAGTTACGTCAAAGTCTAACTCAAGCCACAGAGCAGCAGCAGGATGCCGAGAGGGCAAAAAACGAGGCAGATCAATCTGTTATGCAGGTCTGTATAGATCATCAGGTGGTGATTTTAGGCTTTGTCCTGAACCATGCTCCACTCTTGCAACTGATCCATTGACTAGTGTGTTACTACCTGTTCTTTCACACCTCAAACATCTTTAGGATTACTCAGAAAGGAGTCTGTTGTGAATGACTTTTATATTTTTCTCTTATTCTAGGCTATGTCCTTTGCAGAGAGTGTTGTCACGTACCAGCTGCTTTCATAGCTTCCCAATACCCTGAATAAGACCAAGGTTCCTTTGCCTGAATCATAGTTCTCTTTCATACTGGAGATGTGTTTCTTTTTCTGCATTGTGAATCCTTATGTCACCGAAGAACCACTTAGAACATAAATCTGGAATGGAGATCCTAGGTCCCTTGCTGTTGGCAGTGGTTGTTATATGATGCCATACCATTGTTTTTAGGGATGTATCAAATGCTGACTTAAAAGCTAATTAAGCTACTTTCTCCCCTACTGCTTATGGGAAGCTTTTCCAGAACCTCACTTTTCTAACCGTTAGAGACCTCCTACTTTCTTCTTCACACCAATCCTGCCTACTGTTTTTCAGCTTAAATAGTTTTTCATCTCACCAGTGTCTGTAGAGCGCAGTCATATTCCATCTCAGCTTTACTTTTTTTGTCTCCTGTTTAAGTTAGGTTCCCTGTTTTTCTGACCGCCTAAGTAGACAGTTCTTTAACTGATCAATATTTATAGATTCTTTTAAATGTGTATAGCAGCCAGATACAGAAAACGGAGGATCAATAGGATATACACTGAATGAAAAGAAAGTAGAAAAGGGTGGAAGATGGGATACAGAACTCTGATACATCAAAATATAAAATCATAATAATAAGGAGTAAAAGAATTTAAAGCAGAATATAAATAGAGGCTGGAGCAAGACAACAGGAGAAAGGAAAAGCAGAAAAGAACACTTACAGAACAGAGAAGAGATGGAAGCAGCATGTAGCTTACAGGTTTTTATTAACCACAAATAGGAAAGTAATGATCAGCCTAGGTTTCATGAATAGAACTTGTTTCTGTTTGTAAAGCTGGTGGTTGGGAGTATTGCAAAAGAATATAAACCTTTGCTTTTCTGACAGCATTGTGGCTATGGGAGAAAAGAGAGAGGATTGAAACTCCTGTCAAAACTCATTGAATCTTGGCAGCCTTCATCTTCTGATATTCACTTCATCAGCCCTTAAATTTACTGGATTGTTAGACTTTGTAACTACCTCCCATTCTTCCAGTATGAAATTATTCTCCACTTCAGACTGCTTAAATGACAATGTCTGTTTGAAGATCCTGTTGAAGACCCAGTCAGTTCTGGCAACTTTTCATCTGTAGGCTCAGAGGGAGAGGAATCTTTAAGCTAAGAACATCTTTCAGTTGCTGGTCCCTGACTGAACTGCATATTTCCATGTGGATCACCCTGCTGTGTCTCCTCTCTGCTCCATCACATTTTTGGGGAGGGAGAGAGCAGAAGTCATAAGGCAGTGTATTAAATATGAGAGAAAGCTCATCTTTCAAAGTTCCTGCAAAGGAACTTTGAGAGCAGAAAGATTGAGAGCAGCTGTGAAAATGAACACTGGTCTGACATCTCTCTCTTGTTCCTTTACTATCAGTGTAATAAATGTTTCTGCTGGTGAGATAGAAAAATAAACATAAAAATTATTGCAATATAACATCAAGCCCAAATTAGTTTTAACACTGCATTCAGAAAGTATCACTTTACAAGTAACTCACAACTGAAAAGACATTTGTGCCACTGCATCTCCAGAGGAATGCTTTTATGTCTGAACGGTGTCATCAGACCCTTCTGTGCAGGTGAACTGACTGGTGCTTAACAAATTCTTGTCCTCAGTAAATAGGTTTCCTCATGCAGGACTTTTTGTTCAGCCACTAAAGAACATACTTACTTCTGAGAAGATCTGGCATATTCCATGTAGTAGTGGGTACAGTAGTATAGAAACTGTTGTTTTCAAAATCAAGCATAGTAGAAGCAGAGGTGAGAGGCCTTGTTTTCCTGAATAAAAGGCAGCAGAACTTAAACTTTTATCTTCTCTATTATTATAGCTTCAGCAAGAAATCCAGCTGCATCAGAATGAGGCATCACGAGAGGCTCGAAAGAAGGAAAAAATGGAGAAGGAGCTGAAAAATCTTCTAGCTGAAATGGATAACAAGCAAGCTGAGATCAAGAATTTACAGCAACATATACAGAGGAGCAAAGAGGAACAACTGAAAATGGAACAGCATCTAAAAGAGCAGAAGGTAGAGTACATGGCACACCATATTCATCAGGTCTAAGATTAGGATCAGATGTCAAAATAAGAACAAAAAGGATTTTCCTGAGGGGAGAGAGAGAGAGATTGTTTTATGTCAATAAATTTTAATAAATATTTATTTTAATAGAAATATTACTTTACTAATAAATAAATATGTAAAACTTGCTGACATTTCAGATGGATTTTCTCACAGAAATCAGTAGTGGATTGCAATGATGTAGTTAGAGATCATCTTGAAAAGATCACAGCAAATAAAACAAAGTCTGTGAAGGGCATGGATGATCTGATGACAGTAACAGGAGACTGCCAGGTTGGACTTCTGACATGTATTGCCAGTTTTGCCACTGATTCACTATAGTGGCATTGGTAAAGTCATTTTACCTCCGACCCCTTCTTTCTTCTCTGTCACAATAGTTTTTATCTACCTCTCAAGCTTGTGGAAGAGTTTCTGTAAAAGAGCAGAGAACTGTCTTTGTAAACCTGTTTGATTGATTTTTCCCATTCTGTTTCTAAAACCTTTATCTGGAAATGTCCTAACATAGTGTTCTGCAGGTGTTTGAATTTTCAGGTTTTCATTCCATTTCCCCTGACTTTCAGAAACTCTCAGAGAAGCAATTTCAGTAAATGGCAGGGAAGATCTCATCACTGTAAAACAGTCCTACCTCAAGGGAAGCTTCCTTGGGAGTTGTGTGTATCTTGTAAATTTATGACTTTAATGGCTTTTTCTTCCCTTCAGGACCCTGAATTTGTGAAGGTAGAGGGCTCTGACAATTTTTTGTCAACATAGAGTCTTAGTAAAGTACTTCATATAAAGAGTTACAGAGAAGACTTGGTTATTTCTCTGAATATCGCTGATTTGATATAGCTTTTGAGGGCAGCTCGATGATCTGTGAGGACAATCACATTGTTTTTAAATAAGATATCTATAGTTCCTGGTTCTGTTCCATTCTCCCCCTTCCTTTCTATAAACCCTTTCAGCCTTTCTAAGTGCGGATATTAGGGGCATTCAATTGTCCAAACTGTCCTGGAAACCAGTATTTCACATAAAGTGCTATGCCTAGGCTAATTAATCAGGCTACTGCACTGTCTTTGTTGCCTATGCTGGCTTGAAGGTGTTTGTGGAGGCCCTGCATTGTTTTTTTGAAAAAAGTCTGTCCAAAACTCAGGCTATCTAACTGTGCAAGGATCAGAGGAGAGATCTGCAAGAGAAAGTGACTCAGCTATTGCAATGTCATTGGGTTATTGTTTCTCAGCTGAATTGTAGTTGGCTGTGATGCCTGCTCTTATTCCACTGAGATTTCTAATAAAATATCCTTTCTTGCATGACAGTGAAGATGGTTTGATACAGCTACTATAGATTTCATCCCACCCATGTCCAAGTCTTAATAAAGAATCGCCTGAATCAGTGTTATCCTGACATTTGCAACACAAGAAACAAATTCCTTGGTTTTACATTGTCTTTGTTTCTGCATGCGTTCAGAAGAGGGAGATTCTACTTCTCTTCCTTTAATGTTTGTTAAGGGCATAGCACATATTGACTTAATCAGTTTATCACACGTTAATTCTTGAAGTGAAAAATATGATGATTGTTCTTTTCTCACTTATGGAGTAATATCTGTTAGGGGAAGTCCCATCAAGCAGAAGAAAAGACTGGCAGCTCCAGTATTGAGGTATATGTTCTCCATAGAAACAATGAAACTTCTGTTTGGGGCTTTTGACTGAAGACAAATTAGAGAGGAAAATGGTTGTGTCCTGGTCTCAGCAAACCATGTGCCCAGAGAAATGTTATCAGCATATTAATGTAGGATTTGCTTGCTAAGAAACAGAGCTCCCCTGCCCTCTGTTGATTGAAGTAATTTGAATCTCATACTCATTTTCAGTAATTACATGTAGCAAGTTGTTGTGTTACGTGATGCTTGCCAAATGCCTAACAAATAGTACAATATTTATCTACCACCTGCAAAAGGGACCTGCTAAACTCCTGGAAAAAAGATGACATTAGCTGTGTTATTCATTAGAAATTATAATTCCCCATAGTCAATATGAACATATATCCTATTTCACATCAGTAATTTCATCACCAGTGAAGAGCAGTTTTTAAGCAGACAACAATCTGTAGCAGCTGTTATCTCCTGGGGAGATGGAAGGTTTTGTCTTCATGTATATGTAGATATTGTAATGAGATTAAAAAGAATTAATAGGATTGTTCTTTAACAGATCTTGAATGAAAGAGCTGGTAAGGAACTTGAGCAATCTCAGATGAGAAATAATAAGCTCATGCAAGAGAGCGAGCAGCATAATGTGATGTTTGAAGAGGTGATGCAGGATATCCAGCAAAAGACAGCAGAACTGAAAGTAAGTGCCAGAAGGTTCATGCATCCTATCAGCTGTATCCCTCGGATGGCAGTCTTACACCTGGGACAAGGATGACCCCAGTTCTTGTACCAGAAGTTTCCTACGGGTAGTTCTGGGGGAAATCTGAGGAGATTTTAGGAATAGATCTGGCTGTCACTGGATGCCTTTTTTTCTGTGGTGGTACCATGGTGCAGTCTCCAACCCTATCACCTGGCAGTGTAGCACCTGTGTCCTGCTGGAGGAGCTGTGTTTCATAAAACACATAAATCCAAATGCTCAACACATTGTGTTCATAAAGGATGCATGGTGATTTTGACAAGCATAAGGTCTTTTTTCAATTGTGAGATCTTCAGATAAGAGCAACAACTGACTTTCTTATAGTGATTAACATAATCAGAGTGTTGCCAAAACCCCTTGAAAAATGTTAATGAATTATAATAACAGTGTCCTGGATAACTTCCACTGAAGGAAGTTACTTCCAACACTACAGTTTTCCCCTCACAGTACTGGTTGTGGACGTTAAATATAAGTAACCAAGATGGTGCTTACTTTCTGATCTAAATGGTTTTCTTGCCTGATTTTACAGTTGGTTTGTACCACTCAGAAGCAGGTGAGTTTCAGTTGGGGAAGGATTAAACGATTTCTGCATATGGTCTTTAGGGTACTTTGAGAGCATTTGTTATAAAGGGTAAGGTATAAGTGTTAGATGTTATTACACTGTCTACCATATCTTGCATTTTGTATCATCATTGGGGTTAAAACACTACATTAGAAAATTCAGGTGTAAAATCATTATCTTATCAAGGTTTAGTCCAGTATAACCAATTCATCTGAATAAAAAGGTTATTTGCCAATGGAGAGCTTTTTTTTTAAAATGAGAACTATTAGAATGATAAAAACTAACCACTGACAGATTAAAAGATCAGTTCATAACTAATATGACACAGAAGATTCTGATTTGGATCCTTAATGGGCTGTGTTGTAGGAGCTTGTTTTCTGTTGTGTTTTGGTAGGCAGACTGGAGGATATTTTTCTTACCTATTTGAGAAACAAATTACTCTCTTTTCCAGGTTATTTGGAAAAGGTTATCATTACTTCTAGCAATACCATGGTTCTTTAAAACCTTACAAACAATGTGTTCAAATGTGATTTACATTTGGGGCTCCAGAGTGTCAAAAAGAGGATTTTGATTCTATGATCTTATCTTAATGTCAAGAAAAGTTGATGGACCTTGTAGAGTCATACACATGGACTTCTGGGAACAAAAAAAATAGACGATACTGCCCAGTTAGTAATTAAGCCAATCGCTAAAGCTTCTAAGAACCCTAGTCATGATCTGAGATGTCCTTTTTGTTGGCACTGTGCTTGCAGTTTCATCCTGCAGTTTGCTGAGTGCCTCCACTATGGTGTTGGGCAACGCGAACTGTCAAAGTACTCATAAATCTCTTGAAGGTTATTGTCAGTAAGAACTGAGGAGATTCACATCCTCCCAGAGGATATTCCCATAGCAGGAATCAAAAACCTTAGAGAATCAGTATCTGACGATGTAAGTGGAACACTGTAGTCTGTGATGGCTCTGAAACCTAACAGTGGCATTAAATTGTACAAGGGAGTTATAGTTACTTCTTAAAAGGAAAGAGACAAATTTCTGTTGTGATTATTTGTTATGTTTCCTGGTATCCAGTTCCTTAATTTTTATGCAGTGTTTTGATTGTAAAGCAAATGAAACACACTCTACATTTTCTTCTTCTTTAAAGCCATAGGCAATAAAAAACATGGGGATAATAGATACCTGCTATTTAGGCACATGCAACCAGACCACACTGCAGATATCTTTCTCATCACAATCACTGTCCCTAATACATCAGAGGATATTAGAGCTGCCCATGTTTGATATGCAGGACTAATTGAGTAGAGCTGTGTGAGGTTTGCAGCTGGGGATTCTTTATTGATCATCGTCAGCCCTAGAGCATAAGATTTGATTATAATTTTCCTTGCCTTAGCTAGCTTTGTTTAAATTATGTTTAATATTGTTCCATTAGCTAATTATCTTCTCTCAGGTGACCCACAACACTTATACCTTTGCTTCCTGAATTTTGTGGAATAAGTATATACCAAGTACAGAGGCACTTTGTCTCTGTGGATACTTTCTGTCCCCTTTCTTTGTTGCTGTTCTGTAGGCCAGAGAGGATGAATTGACTCAGACGCGCCTTGAAATTTCAAAGCTGAACAAAGTAAGAGATGTTCTCCAGAATAAGCTGCGTGTTGCAGAGGAGCAAAAAGTTGATGCAGAACATGAGAGGAACACCCTAAAAAATCAAATATCTAGACTGGAGAGAGGTAGGTACCTAACCAATGGGTGGATCTGTCTTCTGATTTGTAATTTATTCACTCAGGGTACATCCTCCTGTTAGGATTATTCTCCTTTAGCGCCTAGGATGAGACTGTATAAATGGCAGTTGGAATCTACATCAGCATTTTAAAAACCTTGTAGGCTTACAGAATTTTCATAATGTAGCATATGTGGGGTGAAAATATAACAGGCATAACTGAACTTTGTGGTGTGCCAATTTGTGCCATGTCACATGAAGAGTCGTCCCCAATATACCTTCACTGCCCCTGCACTGACCTGTGAGAAAGAAGCAATCTCAGAGCTTATTGAAATCAGACATTGCTAGGACACACTTTTTTTCCTGGTTTGATTCTTCTGAATAGTTACAGCCTGGAAGTGAATATGAGCATGTGAGGACTTCAGCTGGGCAGCGTGGATACTAGAGCTGTCCAAGAATTGACTGACCTGGTAGGAGATCTGGAAAACTCTGAGAAGGAACTTTCAACTTTTTTTCCAAATGGAAATTTTGGAAGAAAATGCCTTGGGTCTAATAAAATATTTTGTTTAAATTTAAAAAAGAACTTTTTTGGGTATTTTTGAGCATTTAAAACCATTTTTAAAAAAAATCTAAAATGCAAATAAATTTGAAAATCAAATACACTTTGAAATAAAAATAGACAAATTTTCAAAGTGATTTTCAGAAAAAACATTTTTTTTTCCTAAAATAATATTACGAAGTTGGAAAAATATTTGAGTTGGTGAGACTTCACTTTTTGGGGAAGAAAAACCCCTTTAGCTACAAAATTCATCTAGTTCAAGTTGATATATACTGACATAAATGCCTCTCCCTGCTCTCGCTTGTTTCTAGCTTGTGTCCTGCAGAGACTGCATGTATGAGATCTGAATCCTTCCGTATAACTGTACTTATGGACAGTTATGTTTGCTTTTCTTGCATCTCTGTGAGGGTGGAAAAGCTTTCCCACAAGCATTTTGCTAGTACTGCTTAAGGTCATGCTCTGTACTAGAAAGGAGAGGGGAACTTAGGAAATTCAAATCTGTACTGAAATACCTGAGAATGGCTACTAATAACACGTCTTTTTGCAATACTTGGCACATCTTAGCACTCCAGTGTACTGCATTTCCTGAGTTGCAGTGTTAGTGTAGTAGGTTTTAATTAATTTTAAAATAGAGTGAAAGCACATGTCTTCAATTTTTAATATCTTTTTAATAGTATATGCGCAGTGTTAATCTTGACCCATAGCAAGAAATTTTAACTCCACTGAAGCCAGCAGAACCTCACTGCTTCAGAGGAGAGCTGGATTTCACATAGAGGGATTAAAATAATTCCGAAAGTCCCTGTTTTTGTAAGTGCCTCAATTTTTGGATGCTCACACTGAAGCTTCTCAAAAGGCTCTGATTTTCAGTGTGCTTCGTGTTTTCTGCAAACACAACTTCTTTGTGGTATCTTGGTTTGAACACCCAAATATAATAAGTCCTTATACTATTAATTACTGTGCCTGAGTTGTTCTAAGTTCTTCTAAGTACCCAAATAAGTATTAGCATCATTAGCTGATAACTGAGGTTGCAAAATCTGGTCACAGCTAGTTGAACAGATCGTGTAATGTTAAGGCTTTTTAAAAAGTCCACTAAGTTGTTTGTGCATCTTTAACAGCTGTACAGTTTGAAGCCAGGATTTATTCTTTTTCCTCCTTTTCTCTAGAGTTGGAGGCTGCCAAAAAGCAGGTGGAGATTGACAAGAAAGCTATAGATGAGCTTGTGAGGGAAAGGGATATGCTAAGCAAGGTGAGCTTGCATTGGTAATACTGATAAACAAATCTCATAGCTTGAGAATGAAATGTCTGTAGTTTAAACACTCACAGCGACACAGAAATGTTGTAGAATAAATAGTATTAAGTAAAGCATTCAGATTTCCTTAAACAGAGGCACATAGTGCTTCTTTTCTGTGCATTGAAATAACGTTAGTACTCATAAATACACAAAAGCTTTTTAAGTTTTAACATATAAACCATCAGGGCGTTCAAACGATGCTATATGTGTTCACCTTTATTGCTGTTGTCTGATAACCAAAGACTTCATTACATCTATGCTTTTACACTTTGTAGCATATTAAGTTTAATATCAATCTAGGCAAACTAAGTCTTTGCTAGTAAAAGAACAAACCAAAATGTTGATGCATCACATAGCAGCTTGGCAGGCTGTGCTAATACTAATCCTTGCTTTTAGGTCCATTTCTCATACTGATCATTTTCCATCAGCCCAAGGTTCTTGTACTGCAGGATAACATCTCATGTTTATGGGCATTCCAGAAGTGTAATCTAGTAAATTCAATGCTAAAAGATGATTTCTGAGGTGCTTTACTTGGTATAGATTCACTGTCCCATGTATTGACTCTAGCAGAGGCTCAGATTTGGCGGTAAACAAATACCTGTTTTGTATAGGGAAATAAATTTCAAAGTGGGACCAGAAGGCTGATTTTGTAAAGATGATATTTTGGTGTTTTCTGCTTAGTCCTTATGCAGAATTTTAAACCAAGCTTGGTTAATTTCCAGTTTGAACTTGCTTTTTAGGACATGAGAAGGAAGGGCGTTTGGCTTTATTATTTATTTTACTGGTCATTAATATGCTTTACAATCTAAATGCCTTAAAGCTGGTAAGGTTTTTCCAGTCATTACTTATATCCACTTGTAAAGAATCCTATCAATTTTTCTTTTTGTAATGCAGACACTAGTGTTTTAACTTCGAATCAGAAAAAGCACTATTTAGCAGCTCTGTTATGAGGCTTGAGTACTTCAACTGAACAAATTAGATAAGGGGTAATAACGTTGGGAAGTCCATAATCCACTTAGACAATGGCATGTTTTTGTCATAGTGGTGGCAGTGTTGCCTTTTCAGCTCAAGAATTATTTTGTGTTCCCCGTAGAACTTGGTCAAGGCTACCAGTGCCACTCAGAAGCAGATAAATTTGGTGAAGCTCCATGAACAGTCAAAGAAGAACTTGGAAGAAGAAATCCAAAATTATAAGAACGAAGCTCAGAAACAAAGGAAGATTATTTATCAGTTGGAGAAGGAGAGAGATTGTTTCATCAATGAAACCAGTGAGCTCAAACAGAAGGTGGGAATAGCTTTTTGTGCAAGTGGTTCTTCCCTGTCTTACTCTCAAAACTGTGAAGATGATATATTGATTTCCTAATATGCCAGTGGGAGGGAAGCTTATATCTGTGGTCTTCACAAAGTTTACAAAAATTTCTTCTTGTTGGTGTGTATTGCCCTGTACTGTTTCGGGTCTTTCTGGGGGACCCTCATCAATGGGTGTGTATTCTACGAGAGACTTGGAGTCCAGCCATGTATTTTTCTTATTCAGAAATCATTTGAGAAATGAAACTAGGGCTGGAGTTCAAACCAAAGCCTCTGACTTCTTATACCTGAGTCCCACAATTGCAACTCTTGTATGTAGTTGGAAATTACTTTTTGATTGTTCTGTATTATCTGCAAAGGAGCTTATCTTGCATACTACCGATGTCCTCAAATTGAGGCCAGTGAGAGCTGGCAGTACTCGACATCTTTGTAAGGGACTTAGCATTTTGAAGGATTACTCCCAGTATGAAAAACATCTGAACATGTTCAAACTCATCTGCAAAATAGGAGTTTTCCAGGAAGAGCTGCAGAGAAGCACTGCATAAAATTTGTGTTGCCTGCTGCCCATTATTATATACAACTTTATTCCTGACGATATACTCAGAAACATGGTTGTAACATGTTCCATTAATTGCTGAAGATCACATTGAAGGGCCTTCAAAGAAGGTCATTGATTTACTGGGATTAGCTTTCAAACTGTTTTAACTTACAAGTTATTTGCTATCTTTTCACTTTAAAATTATTCTTTCCAACGTCATGTGACCAGGTACTTTTAAATCATTTTTAGAATGGTATATGCTCCCTTGTCTGGAATACCTTTTCTAATTTCCTTGGAATAATATTCCATGAAAGTGAGATTTGTCTTTGTTGCAAAGTCATATTTTGCATCTTTCCCTTATAGTGCATTTCTATCAGTATAGATACGAGTTAAGAACATTGTAAACTAGGGGCAGGGAGTAATTCATAACAGTCAGAACTACAAGGCTCTTGCTTTCAATTCTGATTAAGGTTGCTCACAATATTTTGAGGGTGAAAATGACAAATGTTTGCTTGTTTACTTTTCCTTTTTTTCCCCTGCCACTTGGGTGCAAATTTTCTGTCACCTCTTATAAGGCAGAGCCTCAGTAAATGGGTTATGACACTTGACCTGTTTGTATAATGATGCCCGCGTTATGACTGCAAGTTTTTGAAGTACTTGCACACTTCTGTCATTCACTAAAGGGGCAATTCCTGACTCAGCTTGCAGGTGAAGAGCAGCAGGAGTAGTTCTGAGCACAGGAGTATGTGAGACAATAATCGTGTCCCTGCAGAGGTTCCCTACATGAAATTGCTCATTGGTTGGAAGGGCAAAACACAGGGTAGAAGACATAGGATCACGATTATTATATCCACTAGGTAATATTTAGGTTCACTGTTTAACCTATGGAAACTTTAGAAACTCTTGCAAAACTACAGGAGCCATTTCACAACTGGTGGGGAATAAACTACTGATGGGCAGTAACCACACGGCCAGTCAGTGCTCTTCCATCACCTTTTACCATCCAGCCAGCTCTGCAGAAGCTCACTGCACACCTTTTGCATTGTGTAAGATCTGGGAAAGAGCAAAACCCATCTAAGCCCAAAGACTTCTTGGAACTCCTGCACGGCAGACAGAGCCGTTATTAAAGCTGCCTGGTTATTTATAGCAGGACAGAATCTACAGAGCTGCAGAATTCCTCTTTCAAAATCATCATTTACTACTAACTGATGAACAGAGTCAGCAAAGTAAAATGCACAACAGTAAAAGATTTTAGCGGTGAGAATTCATGCTAGACTTGCTCTTCTAATTTTTGGCCTGGCTGACCACTCATTTGTACCAGTTTTAAGCCGCCACCACTTGTTGAATAGTCTCATGTCTAGACTAGCCAGCACAAATGAGAAAAAAATCTGGCTCTTTGTTCTTTGTTGTGCAGTTTGTATTACTGAGCAACAAATGTTAGTAGAATATTTCTTTTTTTAATTGAAATTCTTAGATTATGAAATCTTAGTTTCCCTGTGGAAGGTTAGGCTACTGAAAAGGAAGCAGTGAAGCTCAGTTTTACCTGAAGTGTTCCCTGACTGTGCCCTATGAGAGGTCACAAAAACAGTCTTTAATACGTTGTTTGTTTTTTTTTTTTAAAAAGCCATTTACAATGTTACATTTATAGTTTAACACCAAATACAGGAAAATTAAAGAACATATTTCCTTTTTTAAATTTGCATAATCTTTTGGAAAACCTAATGCTGAACAGGCATATCATTAAGACCACAGCAGCACTTTTGGAGTGGTTAAATAAAAGTAAGCAAATAAGGATGGCACGGTTACTGAGACCTTGAGTAGGTTCACTGAGCTAAACAGGTAACCAACAGTAGGTGATAGTTAAGTATACAGATAAAAAAACCTGTGAGGATACAAGAGAAAACTATGAATATCTAATACTTTCTGCTTAGCTTTGGCCCCTCATTGCCAAATCTGAGAGGTGTAGTGTTCTATCAACTAAATCAGAATTGAGGATGTTCAACGTCTCACAGGGCTCTGTTGGGAAACATTGCATATATCTTTTCTGTATTTATAAGGAATAATTATTTGGGTTTAACCATTCCTGAAAAAGCAGAGTCAGCATGCAGCCTATGAGCACAACTCAGAAAACTTAGTCCACAAGCTTATTGCACTTATATTGTATCAAAACCAAGTAAAAGACTTACAAATGCAGTGACCTACTTTCAAATCTGGCTCCAGCTTATGATTGCCATAGTGCAGATAGAAAACATGCGTTATTGATTTCTTCTCCCTGCTATTACTATTGGCAGGTTGTTTTAACAGAAAAGGAAAAGGCAGGAGTAGGTTATAAACTGTGTTTTTTGTATTGCATTGTAAGCAGTTCCTGGGATCCTCTGCAGTCAGCTACA